ATTGTGGATCATAGTGGATCTATGCGAACCTCGGATGTGCCTGGATATGATACTCGAGCACATGCGGTGTACGAATGCTTGAAACGAGACTTCGTTGAAAAACAACTCAAGTCAGGAGCTCTCAATGATGTAGTCGTGACGCTGATATCGATGAGCAATACTGCCACTGTCGAGATTAATAAGAAAACTCTCGACGACTCGTTGATTCACGACTTGCAAAGACTATCCAAACGACAACCAAAGTTGCATGGAAACTACATCCCAGCGCTAGACAAGGCGCTGGAAATAACGAAAGCTGATGCCGAAAACACGTCGAGTCTTCTGTTCCTTTTCTTTTCGGATGGGGCACCGAGTGATCACCAATTCATGAAGTGTACTCATGGTATTAATGTCTTCAGCAAAATAAACCAAAGAAATGACCGAAGAAATGACCGTAAAATGGAACGCACATCAAGAAATCAAGCTTGGAAATGCTTGACGCAATCCTTCCGGTCGAGGATCCTTCAACGAGGCATAGACATCTTCTGCTTCATGCGCCGAGATGTCAGACTCGGCCAAATGACATACACGTTCTCTTGAAGCATGCACAATTCGGGGAATTGAGGATCAGTTGACTCATGGAATAACTTGCCATCGGATGGCAAGGTTGCCATTTCATGCCAAGTTCATCAAAACGGATGTACCATCGCGGCATAGTTATTGCCAGTTTTGAAATCGCCAGTGATTACGACAGCGATTCCGAAAGAATCTTCGGTTGCACCAATGATCTTGACACTGACAAACTCCTTCAAAAGGTCTTCATCTCAATCTTCTAAGCGGGGCACTGTCGAGGTCAATAGTGTACTTGTTTCGGCGTGGATTCATTGTGACAGAGAATCCAGCAAGATCTGTGAGGTCTCCTTTTTGCTTGAAGTTACTCCAGTATTGAAGCTTGCTATCACCATGATCTTGCATAATATATTTATACTCGTTTTTAATTTCCACACGAAATACGAGGCGTGTGTCGTGCTCGAGAAGATATTATACTCATTCGTGTAGACAAACCGAAACTGCATGCATCCTTTGACATAGATAGTTTCGAC